ACAGTAGTTTTGCTAAGCTTGTCAATTGTAGTCATACTGAATTTCCATTAGATTAGATCAATAAAAATTATCTTATCTATCTTAAATACAACTGTTACATCAATGTGAAAGCGTTATTGTTGTTTCTCTTATTACATTTAGGGTTAATGGTGCACACTGATGAACGAGTGGCTGAGAGTTTAATTTTAGCTGTAGCCAATGTATGCACTGTCCATGGCTGCTCCATTGACCAAACATTAGATATTATTTCAAAATCTGTGTTTGGCGAAAATGAAATGAACAAGGCACAAACAAATCTGTTGACCAGTAAAGAGTTTGGATTTAACCCTACAATGGGTTCACACTCAAGGCAAGCTTATGTATACAAATTCAACTGTTCTTGAAAATAAGCTAACTTGTGGTTCATGCTTTATTTGAAATCATTTTACTTAATTTTTTTTTATTCTCAGGGCCTTCCCACATTTTAATTTGGTGGACAGTTACAGTAAAGGGACACTGCTACAGAAACATTTGCAAACCAATCAGGCAATACAGAAGAGTTTTGCCACAAGATACTGTCACATTTTTGATGATTATATTTACAAACGTACTTTTGGACATTTGCAGTAAGAAAACAAGTTTAGTGTGAGCTTTGTACAAGGTTAGAGCAAGTTTCACTACAGAAGATTATTTATGTATTACTTTCTGTTACTGTACTGAGAGTTTCACTACAGAAGATGATTTATGTATTACTTTGTTATTGTTGGATTTTCATAGTTGTTTGTATGTAACTACTCTCAATAACTCTTATTTCACTGGGATTTTGACTGGCACAACATTTTAGAAGGAAACATTTTATTTTAAAGTCATCCTTAACAAGACTAGAAATAAAAATTGAAAAAAAAGTTATCAAATTTATGTCTGAGACAAATAAATTATTGAATTTTATTGTCAACTTGAAAGGAAAAAAAACAAAAAGTCAAATTCATGTACATTTGTATTTGTAGTTTTACTTGTATTGATGTTATTAGTTTTAATTTCCTTTGGACTTACCTTATAATGTAATAATGTGCCAGAGCAATATGTGTATAAGATTCTAGTATTATGCACAGTAAGTACTAAATTAAGAGTTGCAGTGTGAAAAAATAAACTGTGTTCTATTTTTATCACTTGTTATTTCTCATATGAAATTTAGTTCTTAATAATTGCAGGAACTTTATTCCTACTGTATTCTGTGCACTATCAGAATTTATTCCTCCTGTATTCTGTGCACCATCAGAATTTGCTAGAAAATGTGTACTAGATTTATAGCTGCAGAAGTAAACAATGTTTTAGAAATACATTCAATATAGAGGGAATCCTGCAGGAATAAAATGTCAAGACTTTAATCAGCTACATAAGTAGCCTATTTGTTTAATGCTCTTGGCTTTTGAGACAGAAAAAAACAAGTTAGCTAAAACAAAACAATAAATTAGAAAGAGCAGACAGGGTATGTTAAGGGTTAAAGTGAAAGTGTCACATAAGAGCTGGGCTAGATTGCTTATTAGTCCCATGTGGATAGATGGTACCTGATAGAAATAAACTTTGCTTATGGGTATTTTTGTCATTGTTTTGATGAGATATGGGATTTCCTTATTCCTTTGCTGTATTGAAATAATTGGTGCCTCTTTGTTGTTTAGGAGTGGAAACTATTGTACCTAAATTCCTTAACTAACAAGATATCCAAAACAAAATTACCCACAATTCAATTTTCTATTTTTTTTTTTATTGTAAAACAGACATGTGACAATCAGCACCTTAAGAAGAAAAAAAGTCTGTCTGCTAAACATAGCCTCCAGGAGTCCAACCATGCTCATTAGAATAAAAATAAGCTATGTACACATTAGAACTGAAGTCCACAAGTAAATGAGTTATTTGGCTATGGTCATACTAGAGTAGTATCAATAAATAAAGTCAACAAGACACTATAGACATGAATGTACACACACGCACGCACACAAGTCAACAATAAATAGCAATAAGTAAGATGCTTGAAGCTAATAGTTTTGTTGTCATGCATGTACAACTACTCAGCTAAGACTTCTGCAGTAGGCTAGTTACAGAAAATTGGCCAGATTTTCTCACACTTTACAGTTAAAACTGGTAAAAGCACTGCTTAAGACAAAATATTTTGAAATTATAAATAAATGTCAACAATGAATTTAAAAAAAAATATGAAACAATGTTAAAAAGTATCAAATGAGTACAATTAACACATTTATTTCAATCCTTGTCTTGAATGATTTCATTTTTGGTACAGAGATTATGTGATAGAAATAAAATGCAGACAAAACTCCAGCTGTAGGAATACACAGAAACAGTTGTTATATGATTTAGATGACTTATTGCTAAACACTCAACAGGGAGTCATCTTGATGGGATGGCTATTAAATGTAACATCACAGTAGTGATGTATACAACAAATCCTATATTTTTACTTCAATGTGTAATCATGGCACATCCCCTAGCTTAAGTTTGAAGTGATGTCTTTCTGCAGGTGTTAAGTAAGGAACCAACAGCTACATTGTGTTCAAGTCTCATTTTCCCCAGGAAAAACAAAACTCAATCATAGCATTTAGTTCACCAAATTAAAAGAAGACACTTCATATTTCATGATTTACTTGGTCAGTTTGTGGACCCTTTCAAGGACTAACATCATGTTTTTTTACTATATTTTTAATTCTTCAGTCCTATTTAAAAATCTTAAACTTGGGGGGGAAAAGAAAAAAAAAAGATTAGTGTTAAATAAACACAGAGACATTGAGAAAGCTATTAGTTTAAAACTGAAGAGAATAAAGTGAATTATTTTCATATAATACATGCAACAAATGTCTTGTGTCCATACTAATTTATTTTGCTAGCTTAAGATTCAAATAGTGTGTATAATGTATGTTAAATCATTCAGAGCTTCTCTGGAGAAACAAAACAATTCCATAACAAAGTGTTACTGACTAAATACATAATGGTTTCTTCATAGAATGTTACAGACATTTGAATCAAATTTAGATGCAACTAGTTTCTACTGAGTTGAACATACAAGTGTTTATGAAAGTCTAACAACTATGTTCATATATTATGTAAGTTTAAAAAGGGATTGCAGATGAGCTTCCATAGGGCAGTGAACATACAATTTATACCTTGAAATGGTACTTAAGTGCCCAGAAGACAGTCTGGTCATAATAATGCCTTGGAGAAATATGAGGACAAAATGAGAATGAAATGCTCCAGAAAAACTGAATTGATCATTTGACTTGTCTATACTTTTGTGCGGGAGAAACATAAAAAAATAATAAGCTATTAGTACTCAAGAGAACACACTCAACACTTGTCAACCTTGATGGGAAATGACATTCAAGGGACAGAATTACAACAGCAAGAACTACAAAAGATATAACTTTAAAGAAGTCCATGTCCAGTTTGTTATTAAACAGCAGCAAGAAGAAAAGTGAACTATTCATTAAAAATTGACTCAAACTAATTTGAGACACAACATTCAGAAAATAAGCTCAGAACAAAATATTCTTATTTAGAACAATGGGAGTCAAGTGAAACTTAGTTTAAGGCTATCAAATTTGCACTATTATTGAATCTTGAATGCAATATCTTAGGGCTTCAAATGGAGAAGTGAACAGGAGAACAAAACATAAGGCTATAATTGCCATTAGAGAGTTTTAGACACCACATGAATGAATAAACAATCTTTTTTTTTAATCTATTTTATTTTTCAGTAGAGCTAAATCTTGAAAAGACATTACTGCAAGACACAGTTTAATTATACTGTCAAGACTTCAAGCTATCAGTATAATAACTGTTAGTGGAACACTCCCCTGGTATAAATATTGAATAGTAGCTACCCTGAGCAGTCAAATAAAAAGTTGCCAACTTTAAAAATATTGACATCCACTTAAAATAACACACACACTTCAATGTTTACTCCCACATTTACACTGGGACTAAAAAACAAAATGAACTAAAGGCACAGCTACCAGCACACCTTAAGGCAGGTCAAATGAATAAGTCGGGAGAGAATAACCTCTCAACATCAGGCTAGGTGACATCAGAAACACCCATAAAAAAAATGTCCTAACCAAAACACTAAAAAGTGAATGGTCTTATAGTTCATTAATACTGTTGTCTCCCATGAACACTAGAACAGTTCTTTTGCAAGTTTAAACTCAACTAGTCCAAAAAAAAAAAAATTGTATCACAGAAAGTGAGATATAATCCATTAAATATCATTCACTCGGTGCACGTGTTATAGAGTATGATTATCTTTATATATATATTTATGTATATATATATATATATATATAAATGTGTATACATTGGTATGTATAGTAAGTAAATATAAATATGAATCATAATGGGTCAAACAAACAAATTAGACATACATGGGAAACACTTATAGACTATAAAGCAGATTAGGATCTGATCAAACCAAGAGTTCTCTCACTCTGAAGTGAGAAGGGAAGGGGGAATTGCTTGCATCACACACATTGCTCAGAAAGATTGTGTAAAACTGAAAAACTCATTAAGGCAATACTTGCATAACGCATGTAAATAAAAGACTAAAAACAGGATTTATATCTTACAATAAAAAGAAAACAAAATTGCATACAGTATGATAGAGAACAACAACAAAAACTTTTTTTTTTGTAGATGGGATTCTCGGTGTATCTAGTCTTACTTCAAACACATTGTTTTGACTTGTCCATCTCTGACATTGCAATGCCTTAGCACTTCACTATATACACACACGAGGAGAACAAAGAAAAGTGTTGCCAACTTACATCAATTTTTTCTCTGAATTTTAAATAAAATTACATTCAATATTTTTCAGCTTAGCATTACATGTTCAGTACAGGACACAAATCCATATTGGGGTGCTTTTGTGATATCATTTAAAGCTAAACATATATTATGGTTGCAACTTGTAAATGATTATGTTTTAATATTATACATATATAACAAGAACGCACACCAAAAAAAAAAAAAAAAGTCTTAACAATAATGGTCTCAGCAGCTCAGGTCACCAGTTTGTACAGCCTTGTTGTGTAGGTATCAAAGTAGAAACAATGTTGACAAAAAATACAACAATGATTTCATTTCAAAAACAAAACTGAAGATTTCAAAACACAACAAACATCTAACTTTACTAATAGTTTAAAAAAAAAAAGAATGGTCTAATCTTAACAATCATACCATATGAAACAAACGCACACAATTCCAGAATGACTTGATCAAGCATCCAGACAATCATGCTGGCTAAAATAAACAGACGCCACCAGAACAACTGGCCCTGGCATGCGCACAATCATATACTGGCTAAAAATAATGTAACTATGTATATAACTTTATACACATTTCTACAAATAAAAACACTGTCATGATCGCATTTAAAACAACACACTAACCAACTGTATACTAAAACATATCCTAGATTTAAGACTTAACAAATCACTCATGCCATCCACCTGTCAACTTGTGAAACATCTCCTCATTCAGGGATTGGTTTTTATCTGTGGACCTCATAGACAGGAAAATGTATCCACCAATGAACTCGTGGATTGTTTTACAGGAACACTCCATTGATGCAAATGTCACTTTTTCTGTGTCGAAGTCCAGGATGACATTCTCCACCTCCCAGTTAACATGCCAGGACTGCAGAGTATTGTACCTCCATGTTTTCAAGGAGTCTCCAGTGTTCAGATCCATGCGGATAATTCTGTTAGATGCTACACCCATCAGCTCCTGAACATAGCAAGTACAAATGATACCATCAGTGAATAGCATAACATTTTAGACAATGTAATTATTGATTTTAAAAAATTTAAAACCAAAAAAAAAGCCACTCTTTCATCTATTTGTTCTACTAATTAGTTTTATAACTTTCTTTTAATTAAATGAAAGTTCAATCTATATGTAATTCTCTTCATGGCTTAAGAGTTTGGACAAGAAGTAAAGGAAGGATCACACTTTTATTTCTGCAAGTTGGACTAGTGTTACCCTACAAAAAAAAAAGGGGGGGGGGGGAGAACAAGTAGTATTCGCCCGTCACAAAATAGCAGGGCCGGACTTATCCGTTGTGACCAAGAAGTCATGGAAAGATTACTCTTTTATTTCTACCCTACATAGTTTTAGTGGTGAAAAAAAAGAGGGGGGGGGGGAGAGAACAAGTAATCTATTCTGTATTCACCTGTCACTAAATAGCAGGGAAAGATTTGTGGGGCCCTATGCGAAACGGAGTTCGCAAGGCCCAGTTTGGGTAGGAATACGGGTTATAAGTTAAAATTAAGAGTTTATATTAGAAAATACATTCGTCTTTGCATTTTATTCATTCTTTACTATGCAAAGAATTACTTTACGAGCCTTGCATGTAAGGAAGTCATACAATATATCATAAAAATTCCATTTCCCACATAGATCACACTCAATAGCAAGAATTACCAAATGTTTCAATCTATCTATGAGAATTGTTGACCTCAAGTAATTCTTCATTAGTTTGAGGTGCGAGAAGCTTGCCTTATAATGCCTTATTTTAAAAACCCAATAGCTCCTATTTCCGGTTTAAAAAACCCCCTCCAAAGTCCTAAGCAAGGAGGGATAACTCCGTATTTAAAAAATCCTAAAAAATATGTATTTTGCAAAAAATAATCAAATTGAAGATCTAATACATGTAAACAACAAATAACTTATGTCTAGTTTTAAAAATATATGCTTTTAATACCACTAGAATATAAAAAACTTTAAAAATACTCATTTTCCCACCTGGGGGCTTATACACTGGGGCTATGGGCCTGTTCGTTTGAAAAATTATTTAAACAATAAGATTTTATTAAAAATAGAATCGGTAATCTCCAAAATTATTTGTAATCACGCTTGCAACTAGATTAGAAGAAATCTTCTTTTTAAAAAGTTTAAATCAAGTCTATTGAATAGGGGGTTTTAGAAACGTTCTACAACGGTTTAGGACAAAAACGGGAAAACGTTTCCAACTGCAGAAGGAGATAATGGGTTAATCGCATGTGGGATTGTCATTTTCCATATTGAATGACACCCCAAAATGACAATTTTTTATTCGCATGTGTTTTCAAAAGATTTAAATAATTTCCGGATATTTCCAGGACTTTTTCTTATATTTTGCTATTTCAGGATATTTCCAGGAGCTCCAGGTAAATTGACAGGAGGCCGCAGGAAATCTGTTATAAGTTATAAAATGGTTTAATTTAATAATTTATACACCTAGAAATAACCCGGGTCCTACGAAAGTGCAGGGCCCACTGCGGTCGCATAGGTTGCAGTGGCCTAATGCTGGCCCTGCAAAATAGTGGCGTATGCTACACCGCCTGTCGACTAGTTGTTAATATTTTAGAATGTGGTGGTCTAATAGTAGGACATACTATTAAACACAAGGTATTTGTAGGCATTTATGACATATTGTACTTCCAAGAATTGATGTGAATCAAAAACAGTTGTTTGGAATGCTGGTTACATCAAACCTATGAAAACAGTAAAAGAATAACTCTTGACTTGCCCTATGATCTTTCAATGGGAATTTTAGAAGTATAAAACATCAAAGTGACAATACTTCAGATTAGCATTTTGAAGACTAGAACTAGCTTTAGGGAAGAAAACAGATAAACTGTGAATAGAAATACACCACACCTCTTTCCTACTGTTTGCCATTTTAATACGAAAGTAGGTGATGCCAAACTCTGGCAAGGACTGCCAGGCCTTGATGAATGCAAGTTTGGCTTCCATTAAAGACATCTCTTGAACACTGGCATGGGCTTCCATAATTTTGCTGACCAGCTGAGGAAAAACATAAGTCTACATTAGCAACTGATTTGTTTGAGTTTTATTATGTTATTTTTCTTACCAAAAAAAAAAAAAAAAAGCAATATTTTTAATTTGAAATAAATATTGTACTTATTGGTGTTTGTTTGTTTTTTAAATTTATGTTTTTATTTTTATGAGTTTTTCAACTTTTTAAAAATAAATCTAGGTTTTCCAAGGTTTACAGTAGAATAAAGCAATAAGAAAATGTTTCCAGGATTGTGATGAGATGGGTAGACAACTCAAGCTTTTGAATTTTTTTGTTTTGCATTTTAAAGTTATAAATAATGCAAATAATTTAACAAAGTGAAGTATTTTATTTGTTAAAAGTGTTGTCTTAGGTAAACTTACAGATCTGGCTTTCACTTTTTTGAAAAATCTGGCAGCTATATAGTCATCTGAGTTGACTTCAGTGATAACATTGCTAGAACTGGTAGGTGAATTGTGGCTGGGAGACACCACTGGATGCTGCAGGCCAAGGAAAGACTGAATGGCCTGCACTTCTGCTTCATAAGAACTGTCAGCCATGGTTTTACCTTTACTTGCAAGTTTACATGCAGCCATCCAACGGCAATATTGCTCTTCCTGGAAAGAAATTTAAATAAATGTTTTTTTTGCATAATAATAATAATAATTATGATTTTCATGCTTGCCCTAATTGTATTTTGGCACCCTGCAAACTAAAACACAGAACAAAAGCAAATAAAATAGCTCCCCCAAAACATTTGAGAGATATTAATAAATATTACTAAGCATGCAATACAAATATCCATAATATTTGAACTGTAATACTTTTGAAAGTTTGTATCAGAGATGGATGTAAGACTAGGAAAAAACAAAATATTTCTAGCAACTCAATATGGTACCAATTTAAAAACAAACAAGAAGTATATAAAAATGTGACTAACCAGGTCAAAACGTAGACAGATTTCTGACATTCCCTCAGGTTCAGGAACAAATAACTTGATGCCATACTTGTGGGCAGATAGGTTTACATCAGGCTGGGCTTCACAGCCTAGAAACAAAGCAAACACATAAATATCAGAAAAGTGTGTGGCTAGACTTTTCTAACCTATTATTATTGTGTTTGTGTCATTTAATTACTATGGCATCAAAAATATACAAAAAAAGCCAGGCGATGGAAGAAAAAGGAAGTTACACATCCTTAATGTTTTAGCTTTTTTTTCTATGTTGTATCTTACTCTAGTTTTTAAAGAGAAGCAGTGACAGATGGTGTGAAGTGATGATGTAATCAGGAGTAGAACACCATTCAATGAGAGAAAGCTTGTTATCTGAATATGTAAAAGACACACATTTAAGCTTATTCAAGATTTTCACACTCATTAACAGCAAGCAAGTACAACAGTGACTTTAGTCGAATGCTCATTGTTATTAGCCAAGGACATCATGTATACACTAACCTCTGACATCTATTCTCTGCATGATTGGAGGTCCATGAGATTCTTCTTTAGTTCTATAGAATGCTATGAACGTATCCTTAAATGTAGCATAATATTTTTTGTAGCTCTTTAAAGTCAGTTTCTTGGGCCTAGAAAATAAAATCATATAATACATTGTACAAACTTGCTTATTCTTTACAATATTAGATGGTAGACAAACTTGCAAACAATGCTTTAGTACAAACTCTTCTTGATGATGTTAAATGGTAGATTTTAAAAAAATGTCTTTAGACCAAACTCTACTTGTAGTCTCTACTTTACAAAGGTAGATGTTAGACATCAACTCACTTGAAGAACTTGACATCGTCTGACAATTCTGGGATGTGTGTGATGTCACCATGTGGAGATACAGCAGAACCCTCCAGAGATTCCTGCAGGTCTTTTAGTGCTGCATCTATTTCATCATCCTCTGACTGGGCATTTTGGGACTGGTCAAACTCTGGCTGAGGTAACCCAGATTGAATTCGAACTTGGTGCTATAATTTTAAAAAAAAAAAGGCTAACATTTATTGTAGGTGTAAATGGACAGTTATTCAATATCATCATTTAATTTGAAATTTGCAAAGCTAAATCTATAAACTTTGATAACACACTAATCCTTAGCAAGATGTGTAATTACTGTATATGTTATGTTACACAATAAAGAAAGACTTTTGGAAAGAAGATATTATGCAGGGATCATGTCATTATTTGTGCCAAAGAAATAACAATGCATTTGGACTGAGATTGTCAGAAGAGAAATAAATAGAACTGCAGGAAGACCAACCTGTAAGGCAGCAAATACCATCATCTCTTCTTCAGTGCAGTCAATTTCTTCAGAGATAAGAGCCCATTTAGCTTGTTCATAGATCTGATTGATCCTGATGGCGTCATACTGTTCAGAGAATAGAGTCAAATGAATCAGCAAAGTAAGTTATGGTCAATGTCATTCAACACAGTCAGTCTAATTGAATCACCAAGACGACGTACTTTAAGAAAAGGAATACAAATTGAATCTACATGCATAAGCTTACACCAGCA